TTTTTTTTTTTGTATTACAGTAACGAATATCATTTTTTGGGATTGATGATTTTTGATGCTTTTAAAATGATTTGTAAAATGTTTAGCTGAAGATCAGTTTAAGTGATAATTAAGAAAAAATGAATTATTGATTTTGATAAGAGAGATATATGATTGATAATTCGAAATATCGTCATGAATTTCCCTCCATTTGATAGGGTAATTTGATATGCAGTTTTTTTTTTTTTTGCTTTATGTGTTGTATTAAAACCTTTTCATGTATTGTTCTGGGTTAAAGGTCATTCATGAATGGTTTGTATTGTTCATTTTCTCATTCTTTACGACTGAGATAGAAATAAGTGGAATATTAATTTATTTGAAGTGCCATTCATTGCTGAATCTTTTACGTTCCAATTGCTTTTTACGGAGGATCAAATATCAGACATCGGATATTTGCTTTTTTTTTTTATTAATGGGATCTGTATGGGATTTAAAAGAAAATTTTAAATTGAAAGGAATTTATTTGATGCACTTCAGAATGTTAATAATCTATTTTGTGATATGTTATGTTTCAGAATTTTAAAAACAATTATTTTGTTAATCTGATTTAAAAAGCTTTTAAAATTTTTCAAATATAATTATTTTCATATTTCTTCTTGTTTTATAAAAGTCAATTTTTTTTGGTCCTTATCGATTAACAGATAGTTTAAATCATATTAAGATAATTTAAATTCAATTTGAAACGTATTAAATTATTAATGCTTGATTTAGAATGATAGTCCAATGAGAGATGGTGAAATGACCATTTTTGTGAATAGCTATTTGGGACATCTCGGGAAGACGGTAATTGGACGAGTATATGTTGAGGATAAAGATGATTGGGATTTACCGGATAAAGTATTCTCATGGGCTGCTGGCAAATCTTTACCTGGCTTCAGTCTTGCTATCAATGGAGAGGTAATTTTGTATTTTGATTCTAATTAAATTCAACTTTTTTGAATAGCAATTTAATTTTGAATCGATTTAAGCATTTTCATAATTAATAATGGAAATCAAACACTTATTTATTGTATTACGTAAGTAATTTATTTATAGAATTATATTAATTAGTATGTGATGGGATACGAAAGTAAAAATGAAAGAGTGGGAAAGAGAGGGAGAGAGAGAAAGAGAAGAAGTAGGATAGAGAGAGAAATTTTGATTACTTTATAACTAAGATTTAATAGTATTGAAAGATTGATTGAAACGATCATTCCATTTAATGGTGTAATGAATTTCGATTCTTAGCCATAGCATAAAGTTGATAGCCAAGTTTTTTTTTCGGAGTCAAGCTTTTTTTTTATATAGATTTCCTTTTATGCATAAATTATCAAAATAGATTTTTTTTTTGTTTCATTATTTTTGAATTTTTAGATTACAATGGATGCTAATATGCCACCTCGAACATATCAAATGATTGCAAACGTTGTTGATAAACGACGTAATGAGAAAGCACAAGGTGTTGTTAATGTAATTATAAAGAAAGTACCTGCTGCTGCTTTCGAAAATCAGGTTCCTTTTTCTTTAATTCATTTTTTTTTTTAAACATAGCTAATCTAGGCAAAAAAAAAGTTCTTTTCATTCAAAATTCATCTTTAATTGAAAATTTCTTTAATTGAATCCAAAAAAAAAATTCTTTTGATTCATAATTCATCTTTAATTGAAAATTTCTTAAATTAAATTTCAAAAGTTTGATAATTTTTTTTTTCGAACAGGGTGCAATAAGAATTATGCTCTCACCTAATGGGCTTCATTCACCGGATAGTTTTATAAGAATTGATTCGACTGGTTCCAGTCCGATGAGTCGATTTGTGAATAAAATGAATGAATATTTAGATGGGAATTCAGAATTGGACGTCTTTTCCATTAAGGTTACCCATTTCCCAAAAAAATACATTTTGCTTTTTTTTTTCTTTTTTTTTGTCTTTTATTATTTGCAATTAAATTAGCAATGGAATTTCTTTATTGAAATACTTTAAAAAAAAAAGCTCCAGTTACTGTAATTTAAATGTTACTTAACTTAACCAATAAAATAAATGATGATGAAATACGATTGTATTTTCATTTTTTTCATTCCAATTAAAATTTTTTATTTAAAGTGAAATTTAAAAATGAAATATAGGTAGAACATAAATTATGAAAGGATGCTAATTTAATTAATAAAATGCAATTAATATATTTCTTATAAAATATGTAACATAGTTGTTTATTTGAGAGTTGAAAAAAAAAAAAAAGTTTAAATTAGAGAAATTTTTTTCAGCAAGATCAAATGGTATTGCAAAATTATGCTCCAACTGTATTAGATGTTCGTTTTTCTGCACATGGTACACCGTACAAAAGTCCAATCTTGTTGAATGGTTTAATTGCACAGTATCGAAGTGAATTAGAACATGCAATTGGTGCAACAATTGTATCAGCTGGTATTGATATGTGCAAATTTACTGTATGTGATAAAGGTTGCCAAACTGTTCATCATGCTAATGAGGTATATTTAT